TTGAGGAAGGGTCTTTTCCTGTCTGTCTTCTCAAGTACTGTCTCAAAGGACAATTCACAGCATCACAAAATTAGAAGCAGAGGCCACGGTGGATGCCAGATCATTCTGCATGTATGATATGCTCCCAGCTGATGCCAATGCCACGTTGCCTGGCCCCACTTTGAGTAGCAAGGCATTGGTTTTAAAGATTGGTGGCCTAATTGGAATTTTGGATAAGTTTTTACAAATACTGATGTCTGGGTTCCACCCGGAGAATTGAATTTATTTATTATAGGGTTGGCTTGGGCATCAAGTTTTTAAAAGTTCCCCCAGGAGATTCTAATGTTCAGCAGAGTTTGAGAACCAATAAGCTATGAACCAATTACAATACTTTTTTTCCCCACAGGTCCTTCCAAATACACAATTTGTTAACTTATGTATCCTTGTATGCTCCCGCTGTACTTAATGCCAACTTCTGGGTGTTTTTTTTTTTTTTTAAATTATTTTTATTCCAAGAGAGAGCCTAGCACAGGACCCCATTCTTGGCACGGGCTCCATCAGAATCTGGTGACCACATCGGCATATAGAAAGAGGATTGTTTCTGCTTCTGTGCTGTGGCAAGAGAGGAGAGGTTTCCTTTTCATTGTAAGTATGGGTCTAGCACGTTTCTATTTACTGCAACCCCTCTGCCAGGCTTCTTCCAAGGAAGATCCTATGAAAAGGGTTTCCAGATCTTGGGAGCCTAGGGCAGACAAAGGAGAGAAAAGGGGGTGTGGAGATGTCAGCAAGAGAGAAAAAGGGAAAAACAGGAGGAGGAAGGGGTGGAAGAAGAATGGGGAAACATGAGAAGAAAATAAGACGGATATAAGGGTTGTAGGCGTTGAAAAATACTGAAAAAAATTGCCAGTAGATATTTAGCCACCATTTATGAGAGGTGACATAAAGATTCTTGTTGAGATGAAAAAAACAAAACAAAACAAAACATAGGGGCACCTGGGTGGCTCAGTGGGTTAAGCGTCCAACTTCGGTTCAGGTCATGATCTTGCAGTTCATGAGTTCAAGCCCCGCGTGGGGCTCTGTGCTGACAGCTCAGAGCGTAGAGCCTGCTTCGGATTCTGTGTCTCCCTCTCTGTCTGCCCCTGCCCGCTTTCTCTCTCTCTCAAAAATAAATAAACATTAAAAAAGAAACATAGGGTCTCGTTAGGAGACAGGAATCAAGCACTGAAAAAGTTGTATTAAACTGTGCAGTGAAGAATAAAGGGGGAATAATACCAGAGATAACACAGGACTTTTAGAGAGACTGATCAACAAAGGAGAGTTATAAGGCAATAGACAGCATAGACTCCATTTTTGTGTGGGGGAAATGGTATCAATCCTGTTGCAATGGATCCCTTATTCTCACTCGGCCTTATCAGTTCAACTCCAATTATGCATATAGGTGGCTACTGAAGAAGTAACATTTAACCCATTCTGTATCTGGGAGTCTTTCAGGCAGTTATTTAAATATTTTATAGTTATTTCCTCTAGCACGTATGATCCAGTATGTTGTCTGCGAATATTTGCTTGGAGGAAAAGAATTAATTTTCAAAATTTACGTGAAGATGCCCTTTAAGAGTCTCATCCCCACTCCTAACGCCACGATGCACCTCTAGAAGTTTCTTCTTAGAGGTGAGGTCTCGATAACTAATAAACATTAGTTTATGAGAATAAAGAATGGGAATTCAATCCAGTCAAAGTGGTGAAGGTTTGGTATCTTGTTATCTTTTCTGAGAAACATGGTTAATTTGATGTTTGAACTTTGGCAATACGAGTCCCTTCAGTGGCATAAAAGAAGCCGGTCTTTAAAAGATGCAGACAGATGCTGAGAGAGGTTTTTACAGTGGGGCTGAGTTTCCTGTTCTGCTGCATATAATTAGGCATGCAGTTAGAGCTTCACTCACTTTACTAGCCCAGGGGGAGGGAGGTGGGGCAGGGGCCCCAGACTTCAGCTTACTTAAAGGAAACACACTGTCTCTTTCTTTAACATCTAAGTGTGTCTCCATTTCTGTAAAGATAGAAGACTTTGTGTGTTCATTTTACAAAGTCTGCACAAAACTAAGCTTGTGGTAAGGAACACATCAGTTCTATTTATTTCAAGCAAGCATAATTTATCCATTTCTTTTTTTTTTTATTAAAAAAAAATTTTTTTTTAAACGTTTATTTTTTTGGGACAGAGAGAGACAGAGCATGAACGGGGGAGGGGCAGAGAGAGAGAGGGAGACACAGAATCAGAAACAGGCTCCAGGCTCTGAGCCATCAGCCCAGAGCCCGACGCGGGGCTCGAACTCACGGACCGCGAGATCGTGACCTGGCTGAAGTCGGACGCTTAACCGACTGCGCCACCCAGGCGCCCCATAATTTATCCATTTCATAAAGAACTTGGATGGTAAAGATGGTGAACATGCCTGATTTAAGGATCAGCATCTTTGGTGTCCTAACAACATCATTAGACACAGAATGCATTGCCTCGGCAGTCTGGCTAGTCTCCGTTTCCTTGATTTTCTGATTTTGCCTTTTTTTTTTTTTTAATTCTTTTCTCTTCTGGGCTTAGTACTGTGGTATCTGCAATGCTTGCGTTGGGCGCCTGGGTGGCTCAGTTGGCTAAACATCTGACTTGATTTTGGCTCAGGACATCATCTCGTGGTGTGTGAGATTGAGCCCCACGTCGAACTCTGTGCTGACAGTGCAGGACGTACTTGGGATTCTCTCTCTCCCTCCCTCTCTCTCTCTCCAAAATAAATAAATAAAAACTTAAAAAAATCTATAAACATTAAAAAAAATCAATAAATGAAATGCTTGCATCGATAAACAACTGAAATGCCAATTTTCTAGGTCAAGGTAGCGTCTCTTTCTTTCAAACTCTTGGTTTTCTCTGCTATGTTTCATTGAGAACTTGGTGTCTGGCTCACAGAATCGCTATACAATGCTCAGCCCCCTTCAACTTTTAAGTTAAAAGACCCAGTCTGTCTAAGAACAAAGCTAGGGTGCCTCAGGGGGACAGAGAGAGCACTCTCTGGGTCCCCATTGCTTTGCAAGCCCCATTCTAGAACTAAGTCCAAAAGGTTGGCTGTGTCACTCTACTGTCATCTCTTCAGCAGCAGGCGGAAAACACGGGAATCTAGGTTTCCCACGTGCTGGCCATAGATTCTCTATTAGAATTTCAACACCAGGACGCAGCAGGGAAATGTGAAGAAGGAGAAAGAGTACTTGAGTCCAAGGGGCCCAAATCAAAATAGGGCATCTCATTCGAGGAAAAGACAAGGTGAGCAAGGCGGAACCACACAGGGCACTGGGCTCTAACCAGGGGAACTCATAAGACCCAAACAAGGACAGAGCAAACTGGTTGAAATGCCTAGATGGAAAGGAACTTACCTACTGGCCTTGCTCTTTTCCAGATTTCTCGAGGAGGCAAGGTTTCTTGCCCACGACCAGAGTTGTCCAGAAGTGGAACCCATACCCACAACTCATGATTCCTGTGTGTTAGTCCAGTGGGTAACGCACTAAAGAGAGGACATGGGCAGGACAGGTAGCACAGTGCCGTGGTGATAATGAGCACACCTGTGCCGGAGCCAATTCTGCTAGTGACGCGTAGTGACTTCAGACGTAGGACCTAAGCTTTCCAAAGTTTTAATTTTGAAGCTATAAAAGGGTAACGGTAATATCTCCACATAAGTGTGGCTAGTACATAAGAGGCATTTGAATATTAGGCCCTTTTTCTATACCTTCCTTCGTCTTGTCAAGCTTAAGTTTGTCACACGATCCACATTGGCAAGATTGCCTCTCAACTCAGTCTCTAGGCCTCTGGTGCCCACCAGGATACAGAATGGTCCACAGTTGACCGCAGAAACACTGCTAGTAACTGTGAATAGCATACAGTACTCCCTCCTACTGGTAAGAACACATTTGACTTCCCAACTCAAATTTGACAGGCCTCTTATGGGCCATGCCAACACTTTGAAAATAAAACTCTTGAAGTTTCAACAGAAATATATTCTTACATGATAGGACGAAACCATCTGGAACTTACTGCTTACATGCATTCAAAGAGCTGTATCAACAATAGGGTTGTTATAAACTCAGGCTCCACACTGTCTCCTAAAGGGATTAGACAGGTCCCATAATGTGTTATAGACAGAAAAAGTGACCCAAGCAGGGGCTGAATCCTTAGCTGTCATTAGTATTTTCTCATGTCAACGCTGGGATTTGAGAAGACAGAAGGAATTGACTTACTTTATATACTTGTCTGATCCTTTAGTACTTAATGAAAACTAGAATGTTTTATTTCACCCCTATGGGAAAATAGCTAAACCCGGCAGTTTGTTCCTGAAATAAAATATCAGCAATCAAAATACTCTCAAGGTTCCTAAGAGACCAGAACATCATAGGCTGATTAGAAAGTAGGTGCCTCGAGCTTATAGGTGCTGTTAACATTGTTTTATTTCCTTTATACAAAAAGTAGAAATGACAGAAAAAACGCTCTTGACAGAAAACAGTACCACTGACCTGGTCTCACTGAGGAGCTGAGCCAAACTGCCCATTTTACTGGAAAAAGAATGTTCAATCAACATTAGCAAACACCCATGCAATGGATGAAATAAAAGACGGTACCGGTGGCTTGGTGGACGTTGTGTGGGCAGGTTGAACCGATCCACGCTCAAAACAACATAACGTTTGCCCGATCATGCTTTTAAACAGCATCTCTTTAGAAACAAGTTATATATACAAATATCACCCCAAAATGTGTATTATAGAGTCTACTACTATAAATTTAAGGCATCCTGATATTGTTCTTCTGCTGGTGAGGCATTGTTCTCATGATTCTATTTCCATAGTGGATAGTCCAGAAACTTCCAAACGGTGTCCCAAGGGCAGCAATGAGAGATAATAAAAAAGTGATTTACAAGAAGAGTTCATTTGACTCTGGCTCAGCAATGTGCTTTATGCTGTAGGATTTCTTCATTTTTCTGTTGATGTCATTATGCCTAAGCAGAAGAGAAACCATAAAGGCCAGAATTAGATAAAATTGTGGTCAAGTTACAAGACAACACCACTAAACAGCTCACCAAAAATGGAAATTATCCTCATACAAACCACACTTCATTCCAGTAGGCAAATTATTTTCTTTTCATATAAACCACTCTTTAAACAATAAAAGCTATAGTCATGTAATAACGCATATTTATTGAACACTTTTAATTCAGTTCTGGAAATAATTTCTCAAGCATGCTGACTGGAATCCAGGCACAATTGTAGTCCAGTGAATTTTTATCAGAGTCAAATAAGATAATAAGCATAGTAATACTGGTCGAGTGGAAACAAGAGCTGTTTCTAGCTGACTGACATGGATTCCCTGGTGATATCTTGAATCTCCAAAAAGCTTGAACCTTAATCGTATAAAGAAGATGCTAAGGGGATGTGACTACTGAGTAGCAGCATGTTGGAAGACCCTAAGTAGGTAAGTCTAGGGGAAAAAGAAGAAACTAGGGAGCAGCAATGCTGTTTTCCCATCAATAACTGATACTTAGTGAGCCTATGGGAAGAAGGACAAGTCAAGCCCTGGAACAGTTCTGTTTCCTAAGTGAATTTCCCTCTAGGTAGATGCATTCATTTTCATGAGATATTACTCACACTCTAGGTACAAGAATCTTCCAGAGAAGAGTTCTCTCCTGAAGGTGGGTACCCTACATATTAATAAATTCCCTCTTGTTGGTACATCAGACAAAAACAGTGTTTCTGGGAATGCTACTTCCTAACATGAGGACATATGTGGATGAGAACCCGAGGTGGAGTTTTACGGCCTCAGAAATGTGCTCGCTTACAAAGACCATGTAGTCTATCTCAGGGTTCTAGGAAATATTTGATCCTCATCACCATCTGAAAGTTCTAATTCTTACGTTATTTATTTGTCTGAATATAACTTTTTTTAAAGAAAGATTTTGTTTCTAAGTAAACTCTATACCCAACAGGGGGCTTGAACTTAAAACCCTGAGATCAAGGGTCACCTGCTCTACCGACTTAGCCAGCCAGGTGCCCCTAAACAGAACTTTGGAGCATTTCCAAAGACAAGAAAGGGAAGAAATGGAAAAAAACCCCTGGCTGATTAAAAGATGTCCGAGGGACTTCCAATTAAACACGGTGGATTAAATACACTCATTTGTCACCCCTTTCTTACAAAATAATGCTGAAAGGAAAGTAAAGAAATAAAAAGAAGGTACAAATCTCAACGAATTAGGGAAGTGAGCGAGGAGATGATAACAGACAAAATACCAACACTTTCAGAAACAGGAAGGTTGATGGACCTGTGGAATTGATTTAGTAGAGGAGAAGACGCAGAAATCTAAACTTTCAGTGAGGGAACCCAACAAATTGATTGGTGACAGTGGGTACTGAGTGGGTGCTGAGAGTGGGAGGTTGATTTGAAAAATTTGTGGAAGTAATAGTTCATATCCCAGATTACCTCTCCAACCCAATGCGGCCAGGTGACTGTCCCTTTCCCAATGTGAAGGAAGACTGGAGGTTACAATTTGCAAGGCATGAACCAGAGAGACTCTGAATTCAGCTGAAGGCGGTGGAAACCATGAGATTAAATGAACATTTCCCTAAGTGAGAAAGTGAGAATAGAATTCTCAACCCGTCTCCTATTGGTCTGACTCATGGATTCTTGGCACTCAGGTTACTGACGCTACCAGGAGACTGTAGTTGCCTTAGCTTGATAAATCAACTGGCCAAGAGAAAAGACCTACAAATACTGCCACTTCAGGATTTTCACAAAAAAAGAGCCTAGTCCTTGCCAGTGTGTATATGAAGCAACATCTACCAGTCAGAGAGCCTCGCCCATAAAATCAGAGCTTCTATTCAGCTTTACTGTTTTGTTCTTTAATATAAATGAGTTAGGAATCATCAGACATTTGAGTAAAGTGCTACTATGGAAGACAGGGACCAAAATAAACAGAGAAATGGAAGTCAAAGTTAACAGAGATAACATAGGGAGACAATGAGAACTTTAAACATTTTTAACAAGAAAAGAAAAACTGAGAAAATGTTTGCAATTCATATTACAATGGGTTAGTCTTTCTAATACGTAAAATATAAAGAGCTGCTATAACTCAAAAGGAGATGACCAGAATGTCAATAAAATGAAGGGTTAAAAATAGTACATTCATACAATGAAATAATATGTGGCTATATAAAAGAATAAAGAAACTCTTTATACATGAATACATAAAGAACTTTAATGTGTCAGGTGAGAAAAAGCAAGAGACAAAACTGTGTTTATCACTTGCCACCTTTTTTTACAAAAAGGAAGAAAAGACAAAAATATACATTTATATTTGATTGTACAATTTAAGTAAGTCTTGCATGTATAATGCTATACAAAGGAAACAAAGAGAAAACCAATAAGGTACTATTAGAAATGAACACTATTACAGCAAAAATAAAAAAAAATTAGAAAGATTGGAAGGTACAGGTCAATAAATACCTTAGAAAGAACTAGAAAAAGCAAAAGTATGGGTAAAGATAAAAAGGATGGATAAAGATAAAGTATGGATAAAGATAAAGACCTGAGGGTTGACTCAGTGTGTCCAGCATTACAATAATAAGATTTCTAGAAAGAGTGAACAGAGAAATTACAATGTAGAAAACATTCAAAGACAGCTTATAAAAACATTTCCCAGAATTGAAGCATATAGGTTTCAAGACTGAAAAAGCCTTCCAAGTGCCACAGGTCAGGAATGAAAATAGAATCATGACAAAGTAACAAGAAATCATAACACTGGGAAATAAAGAGGAAATCGTAATAACTTCCAAGGGATTAGCAATTAGAAATGGAGCTTCTCAACACACATTAGAAAAAAGAAGAAAAGGAACCAATGTGTTCAAGATTCTGTGGGAAAATAATTTCCTATCTAGAATTCTATACCCAGCCAAACACACCTAATCCAGTAGGAGAGCAAATTGAAGATATTATCAGACAGGCAGAGTCTCAACAAATTTAGCATCCACCTCCCCAGGAAGAAGGAGATCTGTTTACCAAAACAAGAGCATACACCAAAAATGAGAAAGGACAGATTCAGGAAATAGGGCTCTAGACAGGAGAGAAGCAAAAGACATTCCCAGAATGATGTATATGGGAAACTCCGGGAAGGCAGCTGTATAGCACTGCCAGATAGCAGCAGCCCAGAGTAGGGCAGGAGGAAAGAGGTTGTCTCTATGAACAGACAAACTGAGAGACGCCTGATTTGTCTGAATGCACTGAAAGAAGATTTCTGTCTCCCAAAAAATGTTAAGAAATGAATTGGAAACTAAGAAGTCCAAATTATTTTCTCCTCAGAAAATGTAATGTTATAATTAGAAAGGGAATACGATATAGCATACTGCATGCATTCACTGTGAATCGTATTTAGATAGCCACAGTAATAATAAACACCAAATACTGATTTAATCTCAAAGATATATTTAATCCCAACTATATTAATGGTGGCAAGAGGATGTGGGTAGGGGTGTGTGTGTGTGTGTGTGTGTGTGTGTGTGTGTGTTGGGTGGGGGGCAGTGTTGGGTGCTGAAATAGAGACAGACAAGTTTGGTTCATCATGGAGAATACTGAGTTTTGGAATCCTGGCTCCACAATTTATTATCCTTATTGTATAAACTTGGACAAGATACATAATCTCTCTGTGCCTTGGTTTCCAATCTGCAAAATCTGATAATACTAGTATCTACCATATTGTGTTGTTGTGAAGGTTACAACAGTCGTATAATGCTTTGTAACTGTTAGCTGTCATTTTTACCTTCTATAGTAGAATGCCAATATGTAACAGAGAGAATATCTAAAATTGAAAGCCTGTAGGAGCATGTGATTTAGCCGTACAGGATACGAGAGAATACATCTGAAGGAAAGCCAAATGACTGATTCAGGAAAGTGGGAACAGGACACGGTAGGTTGGGCAGAGGACAGCTAGTTTTTGTTATAATGCTAGTAGGACTATTGTATGTACCCAGAGCAGTTCAACAAAAAATTAAGTGAAACATAAATAAAAGTGAAAAAGAAGGCTTAGGTTACAGTCTAAAGATCATATCATCATTTAGACATTAACAAAGTGTTTCTGCTTTAATATGAGGGGTGCGGTGGTCATAAAATACTAAAGAAGAACACTTTCCATGGGACAAAACCCAGCATGAACAGGGCTGACTCTAGAGCAAGTAAAATGTTAATCTGAGGCATTTATTTGAATAATATCAGGATAATTCAAGCCTCTCTGCATCCTTCAATTACCTGGTCCTGAATTACCAGTATTCAAAAGAACAAAAGTGTTTGGGTGATTCTGTTTTTTGCTGTTCCTTGATTTCGTTTTTGGATATGACATTGCATTCTCAGGGACCAAAATTGGAAAGAAGAAAGGCTTAAATTTAAGTAACAGTTTTTCAAGTAATCTAACTTGCTGATTCCTCCAGGCCTGGATTCCATATTTCCATAGCCCGTGGTGACCAGACAGCAATTTACTTAGAGGACTAGTCAAAAAAGGCCCACGGGCATGCATTACATTTTCACTGATCACCAAAACAGGGAGACTTTGTAACTTTTTGTGATCTCCTTCAGAACTTTACTGAGAGCAAATCTAGAAATCCCACTCACTAAAAGATGGGATTCTGGTTCAAAGAATGAAAACCTTCCCTTAAAACACCCACTAAAACTCACTGTAGGTAGGTGGGTTGTAATCAAAAGGCCTAGGTTTTTATTTATTTATTTTTTAACGTTTATTTATTTTTGAGACAGAGAGAGAGAGACACAGCATGAATGGGGGAGGGGCAGAGAGAGAGAGGGAGACACAGAATCGGAAGCAGGCTCCAGGCTCTGAGCCATCAGCCCAGAGCCCGACGCGGGGCTCGAACTCACGGACCGTGAGATTGTGACCTGAGCTGAAGTCGGACGCTTAACCGACTGAGCCACCCAGGCACCCCAAGGCCTAGGTTTTTACAGAAG